CATCACATTTAGTACGTGTACGAGTACTCTTTAAAGGGATTATACAACATTTGCGAAATCAAAATCAAAACTACCAAATTATTATGAAATACCTTACTGGACTGTTAAGGCCCTGTCACACTGTCTGCGATCTTACATGCGCTCTCACTGCGTCCTTGAAAAAAACTAGCTGGGGCGCAACAACAACTAGATCGCAACGACAACTACATAGGTCGCCAGATGGGCGCAAGAGAGTCTTAATGGTCTCCGATGAGCGCAAAGGTCTTTGAACATGCTCAAAACAATCGCAACACCTCTGCGCTCTGGCCAGGGCGCCGTAATGACGCAACTTGGGCGCTGTGCGAGCGTGAATCGTGCGACATTGAAGTGGCATTGAGGCAGCTTATAGGCGCAAGGCAGTCGATGTAGTCTCTATGAGAAAGTAACTTGAACACGATGAACTTGTATAATATTTTTGAAACTGGAATGGGTATTGACCGTTTTGTCGTGGTATTAATACAGCGCAAGTGACGTCATATGAGCGTATATTGGTCGAATAGAGAGCGCGACGCGAGCTACTAGGACGTATCAACAGCGAGCAGAGCGTAGTGTGGGCGCAGTGACAGCGGAGCGGCAGCGACTCGCCCAAGTAATTGGGCTTGACAGGGGCGCATAGAGAGCGAGTTGAACGCGTCGTAAGCGCGGGAAGAGCACAGTATGAGCTTCTTTGAGACAGAAAGTTGTCATTTTCTTGCGTCCTCGCTGCGATTGTTCAATTTATGAAAAAAATTGGTCGCCGTAAGGTCTCCTATGAGAGCGCATATAATGTGACAGGCCCTTTAGTGAATGGCAGTTTAAAGCATCCTGTAAAATCATGGCGCCCGGTATGCTGTTATTTTCAAGAAAGGTGGTGTTTCTGTATCAATTTCCAACGCTGGTCGGCCGATCAGTGTTGGAAACACCTGACTTTTTGTTCAACTACTGCCCCCAATTACCAAATTTATTCAGTCAACATTTTGTTTGCAATCGGTTACAAGTCCGTGAACGGCTGCAAGCCAGCTAGACTGGTTCTCTGACCTTACAATTCCCCGACGTCTTTTAAATTGCTCCCTTTCATCTTAAGTGTAGTCAGGGAACCAGACTACAGAAACATGATTGTTTTTTCTTGCTTTTTCCAGCATCTACGAACACAAAAGTAAGTGAAATAATATCTGCTATAAAATACTAACCCCCCAAACCATCCATTTCTGAAAATTGCGGCAAAAGCAAATGTTGTATTTTCCCTTTGAAAAAAAGTATATACGAATACTGAGTACGAGTACTACAACACTGGGGCGGGGGGGGGGGGGTTACACATATTTTCCGTTGGGCGGGGGAACAGAATAACCTAGAGGGGGACAGATTTACCTGTAAATCTGTCCCCCGGTAAATCTGTCCGGGGGCAGATTTACCCATGGGGACAGAATTACCTTTCACACCGATAATTATAATAACCTTTAGTTCACATGACAGATTGCCAGATACGTCACCAAACGGGATTCACTCTTTGGATCGTTCTGTCTCAATCTTAGTGTGAAAGATTGTGAAAAAAGTGTGAATATTTCCAATTAATATTAACGATCATCTTCGGGGTAAATAATTCCCCAAATATAGGAAATGTTAATTAGCCGACTCTTCTGATCCAGAGAAAACGTTTCTTTGGATTTGACAAGTATCAATAATAAATTGTAATTGTTGTTCTTTGCCACTGATAGACCAACACGGAAGCTCTGCATGTCCTCAAAAGCAGTTCTCAAATTCATATAACTTACAAATCTGCAGATTCTGTTTGAGATACACCTATTTCTAAACATGAACACGAGATAACGTATCTGTTTGTTCTTGAAAAGACGGTTTCAAAGTACATAAAGGACTTCTGTTGAACATTCTGGCCTAGCCTCGTTAAAGCATTAGTTGTTGTTATCTCGTCAATTCTGGGACCAAACGTGAACACTTTGAACGCAAAAAAAAATATTCGTAGTGTTTTGCTGGTTATTCTTTCTTTTGTAGGTTTTATTATTTACTACAGATTAACAGAGAAATAGTTACAAACGTTCTCATTTTTGCACGGAAAGTGGTTGAAATAATTCGCATGTTCGAGTAATACGTATATGTACATTGAACCAACCGTCATCACGCATTGAAGCCATCAGCCGTGCGTTGCATGGAGTATAGGGCCGTGACTACCTCCCCGAAACAACAACACGATGGAAGTTCGAAGAAAAAAATCTGAATGTTGACATGTCAACAACCAGCTTCATGAGGCCATCACTTAAATCAAATCGATTTTTATGCGGACTGCCTATAGCCTGTCAAGTAAGTACATGTATTTCATATTCCTTTACCAACAAAAATGTGCGAGATTTTTATTCTGGAGACCAAGGTGACCTTCCTTTTTGTTTCTTGCTCCCCAGGTGCACAACCCTATTGTTTGCGAACGTAGAACTGCTGATGATAACTAGCTTTTGGGGCGAGGAAGGGGGCAATGCGGGCACAATAAGAGGGTGTTGGGTACATTTGGGTAGTTGCAACAGAAACCACCCACTCCAGACAGATAGCGCCCTCGTATACTGTGTACACAAAAGGCCTATCTGAAAATGGCTAAATGCAATATTTGCGAGATGTATATTTGCGATATACAGGGTGCGCGAAAAAAAAAAAAAAAAAAACAAATGTCGGGACTATTGTTTTATTGGAGTTCTGCATGTAGTATTTTCAAAATCTAGGATATAAAAAGCTCAATTTATAAGCTTTCTTTTAGTACAAGAATCATTCAAATCACTCATGTACTTTTGAAGTTACGGAATTTTAAACACAACCACCGTTTTAAGATTCTGTCCACGGATCACAACAAAGTTCAGTGTTCTTTCAGCAAAACGAAAACAAATCTTATAGGGATGTGTGTGAATTGTTTTCGTTTTGGTGAAAGACGCACACCTTTTTTTGTGATCCGTGGACAGAACCTTAAAACGGTGGTTGTGTTTAAAATTCTGTAACTTGAAAAGTACATGAGTGATTTGAATGATTCTTGTACTTAAAAAAACGTATGAATTGGGCTTTTATATCCTGGATTTTCAAAATGCTACATGCATAACTTCCCTAAAACAATGCTCCCAACATTTGGGTTTCGGGTTTTTTTTTACTCACCCTGTATGTATATCTAAGTTGGGTATTCCAACAGCGCATGTGCACATCAAGATTTGCCGATTTTTCTTTCGGGATAAAAATGTCATCGCATGCGTGCAAAAGCATAGCGGGGTACCAGCAAAATTGAAGAGATCATCGGATTCTGAAGTATAACATTTTGCAAAAAAAAAACTTTGGACAGCGAACTGTTTTTAGATGTCTTGTGTGTCAAAACTTTTGTGCGAACGAAAGTTTCATCTCTTTCCGATTGCACGAAAAAATTGCGCACAGAATTGCAGATTTGATTACCACGTCCCCTATAGCCTTGTGTGCATTTATCTGCCGCGGGCCGAAAAAAAAATCGTCGAATCTTGCTGTGCACCAGACTATTAATTTTGGAATACCGAACTGGCTTATGCACAACAAAAACTGTACATTTCGTGAACTAATCTAGTAATAGATTCTAAAATAATCAACAGTGCAGAGTACATTCGTAAAAATAATCTACACATTTAACAATACATGTAGCACTCTCCGTGTGCAGTCATAGGGAGGTTTCGCAAGCGAACGGATACGCTTACACTTACACTTAGCTAACCGTATCCGTTTTTTACTTACGTGTAGCGAGCAAGATATGCGTGTCGTCTGCACGTTTAGCGGATAGTGAGTGGCGTATGACGTCATACGTGCAGACGACACGAATATCTCGCTCGCTACACGTAAGTAAAAAACGGATACGGATAGCTAAACGTAAGTGTAAGCGTATCCGTTCGCTTGCGAAACCTCCCAACTCAGCGGCCTTCTCGCGCAATCCCTTCTGATCATTAGTCCAGGCTAGGATAAACATTGGTTGTCACCTCCTTCTTTTGGCCTCTACCTTGCCTTCCACTTTAGGCCTATGATCCCTCATTCTATGCTTTTACTTCTCAGATGTGTAAAAACCTTAGTTTTCTCGCTATCATACCTAGCCAGGGTAGGGCGCCCCGGTCGGACGCCCCGGTCGCCCGGTCGTATATAGGATACGTCCCTGCTGAACCGGATGCCAGTTTACTTGCAACCCATTAAGCTTCTATAACAACCATTGATTTTTTTTTAAGACAGGTGTGATAAACATTTCAGCCATAAAATCCCGCACTGGATGCAGTACACTATTGTCTCATTATTATCTCTTCAGGGACAAACTTGCATTTCCAGAGAAAAAGACATCCAAGTACTCGGATTCCCAGCCAAAAAAGTATCTTCCATAATCGGATGTGCTCAACTTATAAGACACAATGAACATCCTTTCAAAATGAATTCCTGATATAAAAAATATATATATTATTGGACCTTGGATGCCTATAAATGGGACATAGGCCTACCTCCAAAAAGGAGGACACTTTCATGTAACATGTACAATCATTATGCAAGCAGCTGACTTTACTTTGTGTACGCGAGCTTGCAGCGCGTTTGAAAGATGAGTTAAATCTAACAAAAGTTTTCTTTTTCTTTGAAAGAGTTTACATGGGAGCGCGGAAGACCAAATTTTGTTGAAATCGTACTTTGTAAATGGGCACATGCATTATATTTCGTGAGTTTTCGTACGTTGCTTGCCACATTGCACATGAACTACACTGCAGTATACAAGGCTGATTGGGGTCGAGGACTAGTGACCGTGGACCCACCCCAAGAATCGTCCGATCCCCTGTCCTGAACGATCTCCTCTATAGATACAATTTGAACTTTTCCATTCCTGCCCAATTTCAACCCATATTCGGGCGTGTCCGGAGCCAATTCGGTCATCATGATGTCGCATTGGGTCGGCCCTTTCGGGGAGGCCTGGTCACGCGGCTTTCTTAGAGGTCGGAGCGTTTGTGTTACGCTATCCGTTCCATGTATGCTGATGTATGTACATGAACAGGACACAGGGCTGGGGAAAAGGGTGGTAGCTGATCGCAATTGACATCCATGAAGGTGATCCATAACCCCAACTCTCTCGTTGGAGTAATTGTGGCGCGCGGTATGGTTCGACAGACTGGGAACACGATGTAGTCCTGATGAAGAAGGACCTGCAGCTGAAGGTGAACACGGAGTTGTTATAATGTGAATATCAACAGGCGATGATATTGGATTATTGGTTCCTTTCACACTTGTGATGTAATCTCGGGCACACAGATGGGATGATAGGCGTTGTCTGAATGAATGGTGCCGTGATGCGGTCTGATGATGGTTGAGACACGGGGCGTTAGGCGACCTCCAATGATGCCCTTCAGGTGGTAATTCAGGGAGACTTCTATTCAATCTCGGAGGTAGTGCAGGTACTCCTGAAAGCAATGGCGGTCTTGAAGGCGGTATTGGGGGTGTCGTTTCAGGTGGAGTTGTATGTGATGTTGTTTGCTGGCTTATGATGGGTGACGGGTCAGTCGTTGCATCCGCTGTTTCCACGGGTACCATTTGACGAACGACGGTCGGGGCAAAGCGTTTACATTTTCGGTAAGATATACTGGTAATGACAAGTGTCAGTACCAAACCAAGCAGTCCGAGCACGACGCACATGACAGGCAAGGTCCAGCTAGACTCGGTTTTCTCGTCCAAACCAGGACGAGCCATGGCGTCGTTTGAGTTTGCTGCAGCTGTGGTCCATAATGTTTGGGAGGTTGCGTCCATATTTGTCGAGCATACGTCCTGCATGCTGATCTCCGTCAAAGGTGTGCCATGGAGGAATGGCGGTGCAGCGCATTGAGCAATACCACCCTCTGGCGATGACTGATTCCTGTACCAATCGTACAACGGTTCGATGTCACAATCACAAATTAGCGAGTTGTTCGATACATTGATTGCAAATTGGTGCTGGGACGTCAGCCTCCTGTTCAAGTCCTTATTTAAGTTGGTGACTTTATTGAAAGACAGGTCCAATACTGTCAGACGGAGGTCGTAAACGGCCGATACGGAAACGATTCTATTGCGGGATAAATTCAACCTGTTCAAGCTGGTCAGATCTCTAAACGCATTAAACTCCATAAAACGGACAATATTGTTGCTCAAGTCAAGTTCTTGTAGTCCACTTAAACCACTGAAAGTATGGTTTAACAGTATCTCGATGCGGTTGCTTCTTAGCTCCAGTTGCTTGAGATTTCTTAAGGCTGTAAATGAACCAACTTCTATGTTTTGTATGACGTTGTCATTCAGTAGAAAAATTTCAGCGCCAATGAGATTTTCAAAAATTCCACGCTCAATCACTGCTAGTTTGTTTTCGCTCAAACTCAGTCTTTTTAAGCTGGTAAGTCCTTCAAATGCATATCTAGATAGATTCGTAAGTTTATTCTCATTAAGGTATAGCTTTTCTAGCTTAGAAAGGTTTCGAAAGGCGTATGGAGATATTATCTTGATCCTGTTTCTATTGAGGGAAAGGACGGCGTCTAATCCACAGAAGCTGGCAAAATCACCCGTCTTCAAATCTATCCAGTTGTTATCCAAGATCAGGGAGAACACACGTTGACACTTGTTGGAAGATGGAACCCGCGTTAAATTGCGGCCTACACATTCTACAACTTTGGATCTGTTTTGGCATTGACTCGTGCACTCTGGCGTTCCCTTAGCTGGCAGGCTACAGACAAGAAAGACCGCTATCCAAATGAAATGCCTTCTAACCATGATCAGTTCGTGATTAGTTTATCTCCAAACTCAATGATTTCAAAGAGAGATATCAGACACTAGGTTACACACCCTTCTGGACGGCTGGTTTTTGATAACCTGAAAACAATGTCTTATCTGTTTGTGTCCTCGCAGGGAAACTGATTTTCCGAGCTTTTATATGTTTCATTTATAAATAATTTATTTACAGGCTTATCTAAATCTTTGTGCCGTTTCACTTTCATTACCGTATTTATACAGGCCGTGTGACGGTCGTATTGGTTTCTGCCATTTGCGCATCACGTCGTGCAATACTTGGAGGTAATTTCCCCATGTGTCATGATTTTTCTGTTTCATTTTAGACTACGGCTTTCAAACATTCTAAACAATAGGCAACATACTGATATGTTTCATAGAGGAAGCATGGTTTATTTAAAGAAGAATGAAGAGACATCTGGTGCTGTTTCGAAAGCTTTTTTAAAAATACAATGTACAAGTCTCTATATTTATACAGGGCGACCCAAAAAAATGCAACCCTGAAACACTTGTCTTTTTTTCAAAAACGTGATCTGCGAATCTTTACGTTTTGGATATCAGATTAAAGCTAAGAGATTTTTCTTTCAAACACTGAAAAAAGTCATGAAAACAGCACATTGGGTTGCTGAGAAAATGATAATAATGTAACACAACTCTTTTTTGGTCCATTCCAATGGTATTTACATTTTTACCTATTTGTGCATGAAATGCATGTAGCGCATTGTGTCCTAATCCTAAAAACAACACGGCACATGATATGACAAGATTACAAATGAATTTGATGGAAATACCTTTTATTTTCCACATGAGCGGGTATATTTCCTTTTTAGTCCTATTTTGAACCTTTTTCAGCATCATAAATATTTCAAAATGTTGAAGAAATTGCACAAATGAAAGACAACTGCACAGTGGGCTTACAGTAACATGTTTCACTGTTTGAAGCACCATTGGAAAGGATGAAAATAACTTCTACATAATTGGCACTTTCTCAACAACCCAATGTGCTGTTTTCACAATGTTTATTCTTCAGTATTTGAAAGAAAAAATGTCAGTTTTAATCTGATATCCAAAACCTAAGAATTAGGCACGTTTTTTGGTTAAGTGGGTAACCCTGCACTTAATAAGTTTGATATTTTCGTATATTGTTGTGTTGGTGTTGCAAACAGAGACTAGCTATCGGTGGAGGGATCGTTGGTGATTGTAGTGCTTGATGGTTCAGTGTTCTATCTCATTTCAATCGCTTTAAGTTTGTCAACTCTGCCCAATTGAAACTGAAAACTTTTCTGCAAACTTTAAATAGAAATAGAAAGTGATATTCAATCATACCAAAGGGCTTGAAGGACGTGGAAATAAATGACACTGTTATTATAAGTTCATAATATTGTGAGTATGAAAAGCATAATAAAAGCTTAAATCAGGAAATGGAGGAAATAAAAGTTTAAAAATTATACACACACTATCGGTACCCTATGTTTCTGTATACATGACCTTAAAGGGAAGATACAACATTTGCAAACATTACAATACGAAATGATCAAATTATCACAAAATACCTTGCTGGATTGTAAATCGTGGCTCCCGGTGTGCTGACATTTTCAAGCAAAGTGGTATTTTTCCAACGCTGGTCGGCCGACCAGCGTTGGAGAAAACTGGCTTTTTTTCAAAACTGCTCCTAATTTTTCATAATTAGTTATTCTGTGTTTTCTTTGCAATTGATTACACACCTGTGAAGGGGTTCAAGCCTGCTAGACTGATTTTCTGACCTTAAAATTCCCCAAAGTCTATAAATTCTCTGTTTCATCTTAAGTGGGGTCTGGGAACCAGACTACAAGAACATGAATGGTTTTCTTGGTTTTTCCAACATCTACAAGCCCAAAACGTGAAACAAGTCATTTGAACAATATTTGCTAAAACATACTAATCCTCCAAATCCATTTATTTCTGAAAATTGCAGCAAAAGCAAATTTTGTACATTCCCTTTAATGCTGACGTACGTGTGGCTCCACAGTAGCTGGAAGTTAAGTCACCCTCCACCCCCCCCCCTTCTCCCCAACCCCCTCCCCCACACCAACTCCCATCCCCTGCCTTTTTTAAAGATATTTGCATGAATATGTTGCCAAGAATCCAAGATGCATCTTTTCCCTATAGAAACACACACATTTCCTTTCTTTTCCTGGTAACGACGGTCTAACAAATAAAAGGGTTTTTAAATATATGATTTGTAATGTTCGCATGATGAAGTCACCAATAGCTATACAGTTGACACCACGCGACACCGTGTGAAAGCTGTCTCGTTTGATGCTGAGATAAAGCGATGGAACGTCGACGTTTGTGGCAGTATGCTCTGCCTGCCGTAATGAAAAGCACAGTGCTCTCCGATAAACGATTGGACAATAACTTGTAAGGGTGAGTGAGGTAGTATTGACTTGTGATTTAGAAAGCGTTCAGAAAATGGATCTCAAAAACGTTCGGAAAGAAAATTGACCTTTTTGGAAAAAAAAATATAATAAGAATGGAAAATGTTCGAGATTCGAACCAGCAACGTCCAGCAGTATATAAAGTAGTGTATTTCAGACCACAGAGATGCCGCGCTTGCTGCTGTGAGTAACCATATCACATTTTCAATCACGTGATATGTTTTACGCATGCGTATAAAGGTTAATGACTTTACTAACCTAAGGAAAAAATTGCCGCCGGGAGAACAAAACCCGGCCACTTACCAACTTGATTTCTAGCTAGTCTACGGCGCTCCATGAGTGCTGTACCATTTATAGGAGGCTCTCCCCCCCCCCCCATTTTTCCAGGCCAACAAAATAAAGTGGCACACATGAAAGCATTATGATCGCGCTTAAAAATGGTCTCCTCTCTTGTAATGCAAAAGTGCCCCTCAAAAACACAAATACTCCTCGCGCATTAACAAGATTGTGAACCTTCTCGAGATGGAAAACTGTCCCTCGAAAGCACAAGCGCCCTCTCGCAATAATAAACTTATGCCCCTCTCGAGATGGGAAAATTGGCCATAGAAAACAATATAGATTATAGTGTTCCTCTTGCGATAATTTATCGAGATGGAAAAGTGCCCCTCGAAAGCCCAATTAGTGCCCCGCTTGCATCATAAAAACTCTCAAGATGGAAAACATTAGTGGTCCTCATGCAAATAAAATGGTCACTGAACTGGCCATCAAAAGCAATATTGTACCCCCTCACGATAAAAAATGGTCCCTTTGCAAAGGCCTAACTTGTCACATTTAAGCAGTCATGTGGTTGCGAAGGGCGATTTCTAAAGGTTGCGTAACACTTCATTTTGAATGAAATACATGTACACAGACATGTTCACGTTGGCGGGCGAAATCTTTGAAACTTAATTTCTCCCGTTTGGAAGACCGTATCTTCATGCAACTTTCAGGGTTTACTTTCCTCATAATGATCCAAGTATGTGCTAAAAGTCGTTGTGATGTGTTCATTACTTTTGTTGAAATTGGAAAAATAGGCCTGGCTACGTGCATCATTGAAAGTTGGCAGACTAGCGTTTGCAATATCTGTCAATCTTTTCAAGACTCACAAATATTAATAAGGATCCTATTCACTATGGTACGCAGTATAAATTTGGAGAAAAGCCTCCTTCGCGAGTTATTAATTGATAAATATAACCTTTTTTGTCGGCTTCTATTGGTCGATTCCGAGACTACAATCTGCAATCGCTTGGCCAGAATCGGTTAACCGTAGCGCCTACGGCGCTTTGCTGAACAATGCACGTCGGTTGTGTATGCGGACAATTCTCGTCGAAATTTTCTACTTGGTAGACTAGCGTTTGCAATAATAGATTAAGCTGAAATTCGGAATAGTCTTAGATGATATAATAGGCCATCAGCCTGGGGGTTTGGCAAGTATCCAATTAGGGCATAAATGATAATAGTGCGTATGCGCAAGGTATATCGCCCCTCAGTGGCGTCACCAGACTTTTCAGTCTGGGGGGGGGGGGGGGGCACCAGCATTTGATGGGGGGGGGGGGGCACTTAGGTGGATACGGATCGCCATCCTGGGGGAGGGGTCTAAGGGGAGGGGGTGCCCCCCTCCCCTTTGGAAAATTTTCGCATACGGAGGATGGGCTAGATGCAAAATGGTGCCACATTTGATGCTAAATTCGATCTAAAGATATCTCCAGAAATTGCTATTTTTGAGGTAATGATTTTAACAACTCGCAGAATTTTTTTTACCAACCCAAATCTCAGATGGGGGGGGGGGGGGGGCACTCGGTTTTCCAGGGGGGGAACACGTCCCCCCCCCCCCCCCTTGGCGACGCCACTGGCGCCCCTGCGGTCACAAGCATTTTGACGGACATTTTGAAAAAAAGGGTGATAATACATGCATTTTGGAAAGTTTTCGAGCGATTTCTTCCAGACATGAAGGTCAGCTTTGCCAGTAACCAGCATTGACTTAGTCTCTAAGCAAAATTTGGGCATCCATGCATGAAAAGGCACAGCTTCGTTCAAAGACTAAACACAAAACGAAGACACATCAAAGCAACCTGGTCACAGGATACGACGGTTCATTTCATGTAACTGACAGATGTCGCTCGTACCCCCGCCAAGCAAACAGAACGCTGGGAAGGGTTGATGAATTCACGCTCTGATTGGATAGATTTTGCGTGACCTGTGACCTGCAATTCATCACGACCACGACCCTGAAACGGCCGTTAAGACTGATTCATTTTTCTTTTATTCCAATTCATAAATGCTTTTGTTTTCGTTGAAATGCGTTATAATGTAGGAAAATCTGTGACACTTATCGTTGTTGTAAATTTGCGATTCCCGGCACCTGTTCAGGCTCCGTTTCGAGTCACGTAGGGTCAATGAATGCATTATGCGACGTCCATATAGTCCGCAATGAAAAAGAAATCACATCCGGCATGGAATGTGTGCATTTCTATGGGAAGTTTTCGGATAGCATTTGCGCGCATTGTCTAACTGCGGTTTTGAACAGCT